TAATATTTTTCGTCTGGTGATTAATGAATGTGGCCAGCAAGAAAACCACCGAGCAAACGTGTCATGTTTCTGTGAAAACTGCCATTTTTAATGCAGAATAGGCATTTGTATGACTTGTGTAGATCTGATGATTGTTTTTTTTTAAATATTATAATGAGAATCGTGTATAAATGTGTTGTCAACAAAACACATTTAGTTTAAAGTCTCCCTGCAGTTTTCAACCAGAATAAAAGCTCTGTGGTTTAACGTTTGACAGCAAGGCATAAATATTAGAAAGTTTACTGTTGTTCTGTAAAATTGTTAATATTATTAAATAGTTGTTTTATTTATTTATTTAACAGTACAATAGCAGTAATAATAATATATTTCTTTATTGATTTGTTAATTATTTTAATTAAAATTTAAAATAAAAAATCTATTAAAAATAAAATTACAAAATATATTTTTACATTTCAATAATTTGTTTATAACTTAATCAAATATTTAAATTATAATTATGATAGTTCATTATACATTAATTGTATTACTAATATTATTATCATAATAATGTTTTTATTAATATAATAAACTAAATAGGTCTTGGTCTAGGGTGAGGTTTTTCCCCATATCCTGCATAATAAAATCAACTGTAAATCAAAACACTGAGAAGAAATCAAATGTTGATAGCAGCTCTGATCATTTTGAGAAATGCTTCATATTGAGACTTGTAATTGGTTTTGGGTTCATATGAAACTTTTGATTGCAGACTGGTATTTTGGCAAATCCTTGCACAGTTTGAGACACCTTTGAGATCTCTTATGAAACTCTAGAGAAAATACAATATGAGATTAATTTTTTTTTTCATCTCAGGAGAAACATGACATAAAACAAGTCATTTACCTGCTGCTACCGAACCCACTGATTGATCTATTTGTGTTCAGTACAATAAGAATAATAGGAAAGCATCTGCCAGACCAATTTATGTAATTTATAGCGCTATTATCCTGATGATCTGTGGTCGGCACTGAAACACAGAACAGCTGATAAAACATAGCATGCACACAGATCCAACAGATAAGTGACCAGAGCTGTGGTCAACAAGCCACTTCTCATTGATTAACTTACTCATTAGTGGTGTTTACTAAGGCAAGCTATTACTATTTTGCACAGACAAACACCACTAACAATTCATTCTTTCTCTCTCTTGCTGTATTTAAACCTACTTTTTTTGTGCATATGTTGAATATTTGCACTACATTTTTGCATATGTTGACGATTTCAGCACACTTGGAATGGTCAAATTTACCATTGGTTTATTGAATTTAGATGATTAAGAAGCTTGAAGCCATTTGAGGCTGCTTTTTGCTGAGTATGGATCATTATTTGGTCGTTTGTGGAAAAGACTTTCGAAATTAGGAGTTATTTCATGTTTTCTTTTCTTCAGATGCCGCTCTGCGATTGGCTCAGGGCGGGGCACGGCAGATTTAGGGGCGTGCCCTGCTTAATGATGGTGTGTGAGCTCCTCAAGCGTTTGATCTGGTCTGGCCCGGGTTATTTGTGGAGTGTTGGGATCATTTGGTTTGGACTGTAATTAAAGCTTTAGGTCAGCATGAGCATAATCAAAGCAGTCTGGGTGGTACACACACACACACAATGATACACACAAGCTAGGCTGTAATTTTAGCACAACACTGAATAAACACAGGAGGAGGAACTAAAGTGTAAAGCACACAATTTAGAGACTCCAAGTGTCCTGGACAACAAGGTGTGTGTATCTGCTTTCGAAGTGTGTGTAGCCTGAGGCAAGGTGTGTAGATGAGCTAGAGGTTGATCTTATGCCCAGAATAAAATAACAGTTACTAGTCTACACCACTTTGCAGAATATTACAGTCAGTGACGATGTATTTAATAAGGACACAAATCAGTCTATGGAAGCTTGTTTCCATTACTAAGTAAAAAAAAAAAAAAAGTCAGAATATCGAGATATAAACTGATTTTGTTTCTCAGAATTCTGAGTTTAATTCTCACAATCCAGTTTTTCCCCCCGTCAGAGAATAACATATAAAAAGGTAATTGTGACTTTTAATCTCAAAATATTTTACTTTTTTATTCTTTGATGAATAAAAAAAGTTCAAAAGAACAGCATTAAAAAAAAATGCACAATGCATGTGTACGTGACTTCCATTTCCACTGTAACGTAATAACTGTATTTTTTAAAAAAAGTTACAAATTGATTAGATAATAACTGGATGTCACTTACATGCAAATAATAATTTTGTGAAATATTATTGCAATTTAAAAGAACTCTTTTTGTATTTGAATATATTGTCAAATGTAATTTATTCCTGTGATGAATTTCCAGCATCATTACTCCAGTCTTTAGTGTCACATGATCTTCAGAAATCATTCTAATATGCTGATTTGAAACATTTCTGATTATTATCAATGTTGAAAACAGCTTCTTCATATTTTTGTGGAAACCGTGATACATTTGTATTTTTCAGAATTCTTTGATCAGTAGAAAGTTCAAAAGAAAGAACAGCATTTATTTGAAATAGAAATCTTTTGTAACATTATAAATGTCTTTACTGTCACTTTTGATCTTTTAATGCATCCTTGCTGAATGAAAGTATTCATTTCTTTAAAAAAAAATCTTACTGGCCCCAAATAGTACACTTCACGGTATGCAGCATGACAGTATTCCAGTCATGTTTGAGCCTGAAAGAAGCCGTCCCGTGACCTTTGAACTGTGGTGATAGGTTCTGTGGGGCCTGAGCTCTGGGAAACGGCTCGTGTGAGATGATGGATTAGTTCATAAAGAGGATTAGCAGGACAAATTAGCCTCATTTGTAGACATGGTCTTAACATTCTCTGATGTATGACTAACAGTGTATCAGAGAATGACACACAGATGATTGAATACAAAAGCAACACTCGTGCCACAGTAATCACAGATTGTACAAAAACACAGAAAAGAAGCCAAAACAGTTAATTCATGCTTCAGTTCAGTAATGTAATCTGTATTTCTTTGTTTTACACACATGCACAGTCTCCTGCTTTTGATAAAACTGAGACTGAGGTGCGCTTGAATAGAATTAGTGTGGTTTTATATTAATATGTAATTTATTTTAAAAAAAGTAAAATCAATGTTGAAAACTGTTGTGCTGCTTAATATTTTTTGGGAACCTTTGATACTTTTTTCAGGATCCTTTGATGAATAAAAAGTTAAGAAAACAACACCGTTTATTTAAAATAAAAATATTTTCTAATATAAGTATTTACAATCACTTTATCAATTTAACACATCCTTGCTGAATTAAAGAGTTAGTTTCTTTCAAAAAAAGAAAGAAAAAAAGTACTGACCCCAAACTTTTGAACAGTAGTGTATTATTACAAAAGATTTCTGTTTTTAATCTTTAAAAAAAAATTTATTCATCAAAAAATCCAGAAAAATTATCACAGGTTAAAAAAAAATAAAAATTAAGCGGCACAACTGTTTGCAACATTGATAATAAATCAGCATATTGGAATGATTTCTGAAGGATCATGTAACACTGAAGACTGGAGTAATGATGCTGAAAATTCAGCTTTGCATCACAGGAATACATTATATTTTAAAGTATATTCAAATAGAAAACCATAATTTTAAATTGCAATAATATTTCACAATATTACAGTTTTTTTCTGTATTTTTCATCAAATAAATGCAGCCTCAATATGAGCATAGGAATCTTAGGAGCTTAAGAATCTTAAAATATATATATGTGTATGTGTGTGTGTGTGTACAGTATATATACACTATTACTAGTAGATTTTGATGAAAGATTACAAATACAAACTTGCACTAATGAATCATCTGCAGTAGGCCCAGGATCGTGTAAATTGGGTCAATGTTGACTTAAGTGTGTCTTATGTTGCTATATGTTATATGCTCTGCTAAACCCAGGCGCACCGATTTCATGTGTTTGGATTAATGTGAACCACGTGGAGCCTTCTATCTTACTGTAACTCTACATAAAACCCTCATCTTAAAGCCGGGCGTATCCAGGTGTGTGGCCTCATCCCTGCCTGTTTAGTGTGTTTTCATGATTTATTAGTGACATACACAACCAAACAACTGATGCTGACATCGAGCTTGAATATCAAAGAATATCAAGTGATTGATGGAGGGGAAAACACACGCTTGCTGATGGGCAGCAGAGAGTGTGCGGTACAGGAGAAATGTATACTTAAATACGCTTGCGTTTACAGGGCGGGACGTGTGCTGGTCTGGATGTGGGCGTGTGGCCCATATTTAGATCAGAATCTGTATCTTTACAGTGAGTTAAGTAAGCTCTAAATTCACGCTGCTAAATATCCAATGGCAAATTGTCAGGTTTAAGTGGTGGTTACGCATCCAAAATGCACATAATTAGAGGAAATGCTTTGCGCAGTAAGTTTTCAGACTTGTTTTTCCTCTGAACAAGCCATACAGAAACTCAGAATTCTTCAAATGTTTGCTGTTATTCTTCATGCTTAAATTATTTAGCACAGAGCACGTTTCAGAGCTCTGCAGGTATAGCAGCCAGGACTTCAGACTCTTTGAAGGTTTTTCGCAAGGTTAAGATAAATTGTCTTCATTTGAGTTTTGTACCATTTTTAACCCGAGGTTAAAGCCCTACTCAATGTAATCCTAATATGGCAATTTAGCAACAGCCATCCAATCATAAACTGCCTCAGTGATTGCCTCATTAAATATTCATGAGATTTGTACAGTCACATACGGTTTAGTTTCAGCATCTTAGAGAACTACTCTGTTAAAATGGTGCCTGCAACCCGTTTTACTTTAATAATGTGATGTATTTCAGAGTGAAACACAATATGTGAAAGAAAATGCTTGATTTTATCCGTCAACAATTGAGTGGATGGTGAAGTGTTTCTATGATACAGGTGATTGGAGGGGAAGAGTGAAAGGCTGTGTCAATGACAGAGCAAGTTCTTATATTTTGATGAAAGAATACAAAGACAAACAGTGATTAGCGATGAACCAGTCCAAAAACAGTCACACAGGTCGGCCACCTCCGTTCCCCGGTAACACCGGGGACAAAGAGCGCTTGGTGGCTGGATGTTTGCGCAGGGCGCGCTGGTTTGTGTGTGAGTTGGTGCCGGGTGAATGGGCGCTTGTTCGCGCGCGCCGCTCTACCTGTGTAGCTTGGCCAGCGTTCAGAACTGAACAGAAACAGATCTTTAACTGAAAGGATCCAGGTGTACCAGCAGAGATGCGCTCGAGCCAGCTCTTAACCATCATTACGCGCAGGCAGCATAGGTTTCTGGAGAGGTCCAAGAACTCCAAGGTCAGTTTAATACAAACCTTTTGCGCATAGACATAGCGCATATATATATGGTCTTGACTGTGAATCAGGTCTTTGGGTTAATTTTTAACTCCAGGGATGGCAATGGTCCCCACTCTTATGAACGATTCCGGTTCCTTTATGGTTCCATTTCATTTGAATGCATTTGAGAAAGAAATTAGATTACAATTTAATGACATTATTTCAGGTTCAACTGAACAGAAACAGATCTTTAACTGAAAGGATCCAGGTGTACCAGCAGAGATGCGCTCGAGCCAGCTCTTAACCATCATTACGCGCAGGCAGCATAGGTTTCTGGAGAGGTCCAAGAACTTCAAGGTCAGTTTAATACAAACCTTTTGCGCATAGACATAGCGCATATATATGGTCTTGACTGTGAATCAGGTCTTTGGGTTCATTTATAACTCCAGTGAGGAGCCGTGTACGTAGGACGCGTTCTCGCGTTTTTTTGCCAACATGGATGGCAATGGTCCCCACTCTTATGAACGATTCCGGTTCCTTTATGGTTCCATTTCATTTGAATGCATTTGAGAAAGAAATTAGATTACAATTTAATGACATTATTTCAGGTTTATAATAGGCATAGGCGGAGGATGAACCAACTCCAGGGTAAGGCTAAAAGCAGCCAAATGTATTAAACATTATAAACCTGTCTTTTTAAGAACCAGACATGGGTGTCATGTAGGCTAATTTTTTTTTAATAGGACTGAATTTGTATTTAACGTGACTACAATTTAATAAAAAACGTTAGAAATGTATAATTATATAACGTTTCCTTTCCACGGTTATTCAAACAGCGAATAAATATAGAAAGTGACATTATCACTAACATTGATCTATAGCCAGTTTAAGCACTCTCAAAAAAATTTAACTATCGTTATAATCACTGAAGCTGTATACACTGTTAAATGAATCTCTTACTTACATTATATGTACATCTGCGCTTTGTTGTTTATGATGAGAGAATTCGCAAGAGTCCGGAATTCAATCAGCGAACGCGCGCGCACTCAACAAAACTGATGAGTTTGAACCATGACTCATCTGAACGCTTCTGATTGGCCATTGCATTCCTAAGCTCAACAGATATGTGTGTGATTGGTTAAAATGCGCAACACTGTAAAAACGCCTAAAATGAAATACGGTGCAACATGAGCAGATCTTAATTTAATGCCGCAATCGACACTGTCTATTCATATTCACTTTGTTAGCAACAGACATAATAGATTTAATTTGTTTGTGCAGGGGCATTTTTGTCCAATTTACAAAAGTCCCAGTGGCCAGGGGAAGGCCTTACACACGCTCCGCCTGTGCCGACAGGTCTCGCTTTTTAATGACCTTTTCATTTTAGTGTTGGCATGCATTCCAATATTTATTTTTACTATATATTGAATTAACCAACCTGTTAACATTTAATGTATTAATTCATTTGAAAACAGTTATTTAAACAAAATTTACGTGTGTTTGTTTATCTACATGTTGTCTTTAGCCTTTTAACAATAGGTCAGTGTTTGGTTCACGATTCCAACAGTGATTTGCGATTCATTCTACGTAATTCAGTGACTGCTTCAATAGATTCAAGTGTTTTTGATTCACTTAAAAGAACTGACTCGCATGGTTCGTTGAATCGGGCTACACTGGTGTTTTCCCGCGGAATTGGGCTACTTTAACACTGTTGCCGCAGGTTGTTTTTCATGTCCGCCGGGTTGAAACGACTCCAATAACATGATATTTATCCTCTGGAATGCGAATTTTAGCAGGGGAACCCCGCCAAAAAAACGTGTAGGCCTATTTTACCCCCAGAATGCCATTTTTAACTGGGGACCCCCTCGAAACGCGATTGGGCTAGTTTTGAGTAGCGATTGGGCGGGTTTTCTTGTGAAAACCTGGCAACCCTGTCGCGCTGGTGATTCAGTATCGGTGTAGCGGCAGAGTGCAAGAACCGTCAATACCGTGAACATCATTCGGTTCCGGTATTTTTTTTTAGCCACTTGGGAGACACGCTCTAGGTTCTTGACTGTTGAGTATTCGAGGCGCTCATGGAAACATGGAGTTCTTGGACGTTTTTTTGGATGCCTCTGTTCAAAATAGCCTCAGTTTGCGCATATGTGTGTGTGTATTTGCCACTGAGTATCACTGACGCTAAACAAACAAGACTTCCTTTCCGCGGCGCTGATGAATGACGAAAGCACGAATGAATGAATGAACTTGTCTTAAAAAAACTGAAGGTAATGAAATGTAAACAGAGAATCAAATGGGGGGTCCAGCAGTGTTCACATTTCCCATGCGACAGTCTATTATAGAACGTTTTGGGCTAGTTTTGAGTAGCGATTGGGCGGGTTTTCTTGTGAAAACCTGCCAACCCTGTCGCGCTGGTGATTCAGTATCGGTGTAGCGGCAGAGTGCAAGAACCGTCAATACCGTGAACATCATTCGGTTCCGGTATTTTTTTTTAGGCACTTGGGAGACACGCTCTAGGTTCTTGACTGTTGAGTATTCGAGGCGCTCGTGGAAACATGGAGTTCTTGGACGGTTTTTTGGATGCCTCTGTTCAAAATAGCCTCAGTTTGCGCATATGTGTGTGTGTATTTGCCACTGAGTATCACTGACGCTAAACAAACAAGACTTCCTTTCCGCGGCGCTGATGAATGACGAAAGCACGAATGAATGAATGAACTTGTCTTAAAAAAACTGAAGGTAATGAAATGTAAACAGAGAATCAAATGGGGGGTCCAGCAGTGTTCACATTTCCCATGCGACAGTCTATTATAGAACGTTCGCCAGTGGTTATTTAAGATTCATGGAAGGCCCCTGAAACTAAGGTTTGCAAGAAACCAGCAAATGTTTAATCCGGTATAAAGTACTCTAGAGGTTTTTACATATTAACTGTGCCTGTACTTAAAAGAGTTTAAAGTGAGCCTTCTGTGACTTTGTTCATTGCATGTTTGTTTGTGTTTTTAAATATCATTCTGTCAAACATTCTGCAACATTTTTTTTATATCTACCCAAATGCATTGCACAAATCTGATGCAGGAAAGCTAGAAAATATCTCTTAAAATGAATGAATTAAAAACGAAAGTAGGACCACGAGTCAGTCAAGCGCTTGAACAACTTCCAGTAAACTTGAATGTGAAACAGAAATTGTAGTATGGTGATGCTGTTCAATTATAGACTTCATATCATATTCAGTTTTCATAAATATTATTTTATTAAGCAAATGTGCCGTCCTTCCGCTAAAAGATCTAGTCCCTGAGGTGTAAAGTGAAGTGCGCAGTGATACACACAGTAGCTGGTGAACAGGTGTTTCGTGTCATAGCTGTGTCGTGTATTTTAGCACTGCTGAAAGGAACCAAACGACTATCCGTTTCATAGTTATTTGTATGCTTGTGCGTCATGTGCGGTCTTGTTTGCACTCTGCACCGCTGTTCGGTTGTTTTCTGACGGCGCTGATCGAGTCAGTCAAGCGCTTGAACAACTTCCAGTAAACTTGAATGTGAAACAGAAATTGTAGTATGGTGATGCTGTTCAATTATAGACTTCATATCATATTCAGTTTTCATAAATATTATTTTATTAAGCAAATGTGCCATCCTTCCGCTAAAAGATCTAGTCCCTGAGGTGTAAAGTGAAGTGCGCAGTGATACATACAGTAGCTGGTGAACAGGTGTTTCGTGTCATAGCTGTGTCGTGTATTTTAGCACTGCTGAAAGGAACCAAACGACTATCCGTTTCATAGTTATTTGTATGCTTGTGCGTCATGTGCGGTCTTGTTTGCACTCTGCACCGCTGTTCGGTTGTTTTCTGACGGCGCTGATCACTCCTGTGAGCGGCCTGTAACCGGAGCCCTTGCGCTTCCGCCACTGTCCGCCAGGGTGCGCCCTACATTGCACTAACTCACGACCTGTCAGGGATATAATCATTTAAGAGCATCTATGTGAGAGAGATGTTCTCCTCTCCTACATATATACTTAAATACGTCCAGATTTGAACACAAACTTGTATTTTGCCCCTAAATGTTAGAGCGAAATGGAGAGAGAGGGTTGTAGAGCAGGGGTCAGGTTCTTCCTCATCAATGTCTATCACTGTGTGCCGAACGGAAGGAATTTTCCACTCCCCTCTTACTGAAGTAAGGGAAAGAAAGGGAAGGGTTGTTGTATGCAAGGACGGGGCTTTTTAGTCGTCTGTGTACATAGTGTGTGTGTTAGTGTGTGTGAGTTTACACATTTGTGTGTACATGTGGTTGCTACCATTGAGAAAATTCCACTCACTAAATAACTGTGTAGGCCTGGAAGAGGGAAACCTGAGAGCTAAATGCAAAATTAACACTACAAATAGGCTACACGTTTACTTTAATGCCATTGACTTCTCATAATCTTATATAATAATCTTATGTAAGCTAATTATAATGAGTATTTATTTGATTTGATTGTTTTTCAAATTGGCAACATCTCCTAATGGAAATTTTGTCTGATTTTACTCACTTCTATGGTCAAGTTTGAATGGGAGCTTGTTCCTGGCATGGAATAAAAAAGTAAAAAAGAATTGCAAGAAATAAACTGACAGGTCGACTTTTTTCTCTTCAAATTGGATGAAAAAAAGGTCAGAATTTTGATAGAAATTCAGAACTGTGAGAATTAAAAGTCAGAATTGTGAGATAAATAGTTGCAATTACCTTTTTTATTTTTTTTTATCACAAGGCTTCTGTAAGTTAGTCCCTCAGACATACACTTGTTTTCGCTTTCTCTTCTAAATCTGCTTTGGTTATTGCATGATAACTTTAGTTATTGCATATTTTAGCATCAACTGCGGGATGTAAATCTGTCAGCTCAGTTTAACGGTTTTCCTACAAAATTAACATTTTAACAGATTTTTAAAATGATTTTAAGTTCAGTTATTGTAATATACAAATATTCACTTGCACAGTGTTTATGAGACTCAAGAGATGCTTGACACATACAGGAGTCATTTTTTGCAGCACACACACACACACACACACAACAGAAAGAGAACATTCAGCTGTGACACACACACACACACACACACTGTTTCTCACTCGTCTGTTTGCGGTGGCTTACTAACTGTGAGGTAAGACTGGCCGGTGTTTCTCCTGTTCTGATTGGCTGAGAAACTCTGCGGCGAGACACTTCACTTCCTGACTCAGGTATGGGGATCCTGGGGGAGTCTAGGATCGTGTGTGTATGTGATAGATAAAAGAGTGTGTGTTTTGTGGTCAGCAGGTAATGTTTAAAGCAGCTGTCACACTCACACAAACATGTCCGCAGACACGGTGGGGGTTTAGAGCTCTGTCTATACTGCCAATCATAATTGAAATCCTTCCACTGCGAGTCCGTTCCTCTTTCATGTGTCTGTGAAATCAGAGGTTAGGGTTCAAAGGTCAAAGTTCGTCAGGGTCAGTCTGGCAAAAAACTACATCTGAGGTTCCTTTGTGGTATTGTCATGCATAAAGTGTAACAGTTTTGACTGTAGTGTAAGTGGTGTTTGCTACGGGAAGCCGATATTGGGGGTTTTATATTGGTCAGTGTTAGATATTTGTGTAGTTATTTGATAGATTATCTTTGCTGTCAGCTGACGCTCACTTAAAGTTAATCTTTAAATAAGTTATTTCATAACTGTAAAATTTATTCTTCTGCAGATTTTTTCGTACTGTATACTACCAGCCATAAGTATGGAATAATTGTGTTTTTTTTAAAGTCTCTTCTGCTCAGCAAGGCTGCATTTATTTGATCAAAAATACAGTAAAATCAGTAATATTGTGAAATATTATTACAATTTAAACTAACTGGTTTAATTTTGAATATGTTTTAAAATATAATTTATTTCTGTGATGCAAAGCTGAATTTTCAGCATTATTACGCCAGTCTTCAGTGTCACATGATCTTCAGAAATCATTCTAATATGCTGATTTGCTGCTCAAGAAACATTTCTGATTATTATCAGTGTTGAAAACAGTTGTGCTGCTTAATTATTTTCAGGATTTTTGATGAATGGACAGTTCAAAAGTACAGCATATATTTGAAATAGAAATCATTGTAAGATTATAAACATCTTTACTGTGACGTCTGATCAATTTAATGCATATTTGCTGAATAAAACAATTTTAAAAAATACAATATATACTGTATATTGAATGGTAGATTTACTTGTAGCATTTAAAATGATTGATTTAAATTTTCAGTGTTTTATTATGCACATAATAGTATAGAATCTCTATTTATTGGTTATCGGCTATAACATGAAAATAATCAGTATTGGTGAGAATTTTAATATTGATGCATCCTTGTATGCTAAGATGATTTTGTAAAATGCTCAACTGTGGAAAATTTATTTTATTTTGTCCACAGTGTGTACACTGTAAAAAAAATCAGTGACATTTACGGTAAAATACCGGCAGCTGTGGTTGCCAGAACTTCACCGTAAAAAATATGGTAGCAACATTTCAGGTTTTACAGACTTCACTTATATTCACAATAAAATACCGTATTTCATTAACTGATGTAATGTTAAACCAACATATTGAAGTACTAATATCTGTTTTGAAACATTGTAATGCACTGATAACCACCAAAAACTGTGATGAGGAAGTTACATGATGAACCAAAGCTCATCACAAACAGCTTTTCTATGAGCTGAGGAGGACAATATAGAAGGTGCACAGTGTCATTCACACAGACACTAAACCCCATCATGGTGACACTAATGATACTGAAATAATGCAATAAACATTAATTTAACAACATTAGATGTAAGATTAAACCCTAATGTACACAACTGATAAGAAAAAAAACTAAGAAACATGTTATTTCAACAACAAAAAAACCCCATCAAATATGAAGCATCATGCAGGGAATTCTGGGAGTGTCAATTCACAGTTTTTCACTGTAAATTATACAATGACTTTTTCTTTTTCACTTCCAAAAACCTTATTTTTAACAGTATTTTACTGTAAAATTACATTAAATGTAATTACATTTATTCACCGAATATAGTATGGAAACTTACTGTTAACCAGTTAACAGGTTTTTACTGTAGCATTTTTGCAGTCTTTTACTGTTAAAATCACAATCATTTTTAACAGTGTAATAGCAATTAAGCTCTGTACTAAATGTTCTTCTTAAGTATACACTTGTGTGCATATTTTTACTATTTTCCAAATGAAAGAAACGAAACCAAAAACACGCACAATGTTTTCATTGACTATAAACATGGAAATACATTTAACCGGCCGGCATCATCCATGGGTTTGATGGTTCTCTCCACTCACTCCGGAAAGAGAAAAATGTTCCACTTTGGGTCGAGGCCAGTGCAAGAAGCCTGAAATGTGTACCTCCATTGTAATGATGATGTTTTGACAAGTGGCTTCTGTTATGTAAAGGTCTGATTCAACATTTAACTCTGCTAGCCGCAAAAATAGTGGAAATTCAAATGAGTAACTTTGTCTTTCTCTCTCTGTGTCTCTAGGAGAGCTCTTCTTCTGTGTATTCTACTTTACTGTACTTCTTTTGGATTCACCCAAGTACTCTTTGAAGGTAAGATATGAAATAAAAATGTGTTTTATATTTATGGACATGCAGCATCCGTTTGCATATGTGTGATTGCAATGGAAATGGTGTTTAAAATGTGGTTAAAACTAGATTTTTGAGGCCACTGAATTATTGCGCAATAATAAAGTTTCATGTTCTTGCACTTTCCGCTAAGTTTGGAAAGTTTTATTACATTAAACTTTATACCCTGATTCATGAAACGCAAACACCCTCTTTCTCACATACGTATGAGTTTCCTTACCTTTTCTCCTGCCAAACATCTCTCAGTTCCAAGCACTTTTTCCTCAGTAAAGCATGTCTTATAACGCCTTTTACATGAATGAGTGTGTGTGTGTTAGTGCATGTCTGTTTTATAGAAAAAATGACATCATGTTCCCACTTGACTGCTGATTCATGCTGATCTCTTGACAGTAACACACATATGAAAAGGCCTGGGAATAAAGTTATGATAAATCTACTGAATCAAAGCAAAGATCACAGGAAGTAAGATCTGTTTACATGACAGCGATGAGAGTTTACTGAGTTCACCAGCTGACTTAACCTGTATATAATATTATATATATATATATATATATATATATATGTATATATACATCATGTTCCCACTTGACTGCTGATTCATGCTGATCTCTTGACAGTAACACACATATGAAAAGGCCTGGGAATAAAGTTATGATAAATCTACTGAATCAAAGCAAAGATCACAGGAAGTAAGATCTGTTTACATGACAGCGATGAGAGTTTACTGAGTTCACCAGCTGACTTAACCTGTATATAATATTATATATATATATATATATATATATATATATATATATGTGTGTGTGTGTGTATATAATAAAAACAAAACAAAAACAAAAAAAAATATGCTGCATTCTAAGACTGCATTGATTTTGTCCAAATTATAAGGAAGCACCACATGTATACTTCATGGATCAATCAGTCTTACGATACATTGCATCAAGCTCTGTTTAATTAAATTTTACCCAATTTGTACGCTATTTGTCTGTGCACTCTCACTGAAATCAGATGCATTAGTCAAGTCTCCTTGGAAAATCTTTACTCTTCGATGCTCAGTTGTGCATGTATGTTTTTTTTTTTGAGCCAGTCACCTTAGCTGTAAATGCCATGTGACTAATTACACCTAAAAATTATGTCATGACAACACTGATTTGCTGATGACAACAAAGTAATGTGCACCTGCTCAAAACCATTGATAGTCCTTCACAGTTTTGCTGACTGTTGATTCATGATATGGGTGTGAAAATCAAACAGACATTCACTTACACAATCAAACGCATCATTCAGACAGTGTTCTATTGTGTGAATGAAGTAGTTTCTGCTGCTGTTCTCATACGCTTGGCTCTGTCCTGGCCTTGTGAAGCCAAACGCTGACCCAAGTGAAACACAATTACAAGTTCACTGCAATAAGTTCACAAATGTTCCTTGTCAGAAGCCAGTTTTAGCATCAGACACAGACACAGCTGTTAACTCATTGCTTCGTTTTAGTCTCGGAGGAAGTTTTTCTGCTGGAATTTAACAAACATGGCACAAAACTGAATTAGCACATTAAAATGATGTAATGCGGAGTCATGGACCTCCTCAAGATGCCATGAAATCAAAGTAAAGTTTTATGGCTTAAATGTGTTCGTGTGTTAGTCCTCTAGATGCTATATCTATCTATCTATCTATCTATCTATCTATCTATCTATCTATCTATCTATCTATCTATCGATATACACACACACTCAAACACGTTCATTATATATATAT